GATAACACTAAACTGATGAGCGGTAAAAGCGTTTTAAGCGTCGCCTATGGACGATTTTCAGTGTGGTCGTTTTTGCGGGCGCACGCAATTTTAAGGCTTGACATGTTTGGTGTCTATTTACCCGATGTGACCCTGTCTTATATTTTACCAAAAATATGGGTAAGAATAGATGTTTTATAACAAAGTAGGGAAAACATTTTTTTTATTTTATATTTTTGTTACTTTTTTCATTATATAGTAAAAAAAATACCCCCCCAGTGGTGATTTTATATACCACCAAAACAAAGCTCTATCTGTCCCCAAATTTTTTTTACAGAAATTGCAAGGATATAGTCCGGTCATGCTGACTAGTGACATTTTTGACTCACTGGTGAGACACCCTAACGTTTTTCAAGCCCTGGCTATAGCACATTTTGAATTGCTTGTTTCATTGCTGACCCATATCAATTTGATTACTCTTGTTGCCTGCCTACCACTATCCAACTGAACCTGACAATTTTGCTGCCTTGCACATTGCTCACCTCTGCAAAATGTTCTATTCCCCCATCAATACTAAACAGTGATAATAGAGGAATGCCCCCTGCTAGGCTATTGACCGAACACACCAGGTCACCAGGACCTGTCTGAAATTTGGCCAGTGTATGGTCAGCTTAAGCATATCTAAGATTGAAGCCCATATTAATAAAGAAAAAGATTTTTCTGCAAATCAATTACAACAAGCGCTCATATTAACACTGCAAGTGGCAGTTTCGAGAATCTGAATCTGACTGGTGGTAGACGTTGCTAGAGACAGTTCTACCCACAGATAAGTAATACAGCTGTGTATTCAGAAATACATCTAGATTTTAAGTGTAATGAATATAAGCTTGGCATCTGTGTCTTGCAATCCCCTGTACAGCAGGCTGGTGGAGGGAGAAGCAGTACAAAGTGCTAATCAGTTATGCCACATTGAAGGAGCATGCTGATAGGAGGAGAGAGCAGAATGAAAGAGAGATGAGCTCATCAGTCTGCTATTTCTCTTTTACTGTCCATTCACAGACTTAAGGTGGGGAGGAAATCTGTTCTCCTCCCCACCTTAAGTGGTGGGTAGGAGAATCAGGTCTCCTGCCCTGCTAGAGAGAGCTGTGCTTTACGGCAGAGCTATATACATGTCCGGAATAAATGGGCAGAAATACAAATCCTTTGCCAGGGAAAACAGCTCTCATATATGTATTTCATGTATGTATTTAGCGGTCTGCCTGCAATTCAGTGCTAAGTGTTAATCTGATGATGGTTTAAATACGTGCTTGGTGGTCATCTTGCAAACAGCAGGAAGTTCGCTGCAGTTCGTACAGCACTGTACAGTGTAATGTCAGCCAGCCACAGCAATGTTCCTCTCACTTGCATCTAAAGTGTTAATATCATTGCTGAAATGTTAACATGCACCTACAGCCTTTTTAGAGAAATAAACACATTAGTATGTGTCTCTGTTTTTCGAAAACCACACACACTATACATATATATACACAGTATCTCACAGAAGTAAGTACACCCCTCACATTTTTGTAAATATTTTATTATATCATGTCATGTGACGACACTGAAGAAATGACACTTTGCTACAATGTAAAGTAGTAAGTGTACAGCTTGTATACCCATTTTTTCCATAGCAAACATTTTTTTAAAAGCAGATAATTGTGAAATAAACCAAAATAACCCCCTAAACAAATACTGTAATTGTTGCTGTGAATGATATTAAGCAGAATGTTTCAATAAATACTCATTTCTGATGGTGGTTCCAGCATCCACACTGTTGAACCTCTATTGCTGATGGGTGAGAGATGATCAGCTAGTTTACACATACAACTTTTTCCTGCTAAAAAAGCATAAGAATGACTGCTTGACTAGTCAGTCTATTCTCATGCAGGAAGAATTTAAACAGACAATATGGGCTTTGTCAATGTGAAGGTATACTGTCATATGTAGCATTCTCCAAGATGTGGAACTTTTAAATATAATGATGAGCTGTGAAGGGAGGTTGGATAAATCTACAGCTAAAGTAGAAATCACGTTTATTTCGTGCTATGCATAATGTGTATATATATATATTACATTTGCTGCTCACATAGCAATACAATAGTTTTGTTTTGGAAAGAGAATGCGCTGCAGCTGCATTTGAACAAATTGACACCTAGAGACCCTCTGCTCCTTCTAACCACATACAACTTCGAAGCCGTAACCCCTCTGCTACTGTGTGAAACCACATAGAAATGTAAGAGAAAAGGTGAACAAAATCTTGGCCTGCCTATTTTACCCTCTCATGTTGGGTTGGGTATGCTTCACATTCTAGAAAGCTTTACCTTTGAAAATGAACAAGGATTGTGAGAAAATATATATAACCATTATACAAGTGAAAGTGTGTCAGGATAAAGGGAGAACTTCATACAGGCATTGATGTAAACGTGTAATCATACGTTTCCAATTGGAAGGCTGAGCAGTGGGATCATTAACCTTATAAATATTATTCATTTCCTGTCTTCTTTCCAAAAAGTGCAACTGAAACAAAAACGTGTATTTTTGCATAGTGGGGAGTGGGATTAGAACACACACAGGCATTGATGTAAAGTGTAATCCCACATCTCCAGCAGATGGAAAATTGGAAGGCTGTGCAGTAACGTTGCCTACCCCAGCTGTAGAAAGTCACTTAAGTATGAGCTCTGAGTCTGCAGCTGCTGCTGGCATCACATCTAAGATGGCGGCGCCTAGAAGAAATCTCAGGACATATGGATGTGTACACAGTGGAGGCTTTTACAGGTAAATAACATGCATAAAATGTTTAATGCAAATATGTTTTAATGGGAAGGTTGTTGTTGAAATTAATAGTCTGGCAACAGGGTCTCTTTAAAAGGGTGCATCATTGTTTTTCTTTCAGACGTTACTACCTGCAAGATGTGAATAGAAAAAAACCTGCACACTGTGTATTAGTTATGTGTTTATGAGGCAGCCTTGTTAGTCTTCAAGAATGCCATAAGGAACACAGGTTTAGCTTGCTGCAGTCCCATACTACTTAGGTTGAGGCATTTCTATAACAAAACTTACTAAAAGAAATCATGTTGTCTTGATTAGAGCTGTTTGAAGAGTACAAGAGAAAAACTGTATATCAGTATATACTTTGATCACTTCATGCATAAAGAGCAATTCCACTTTTGTTAAGAAAAAAAAAAATCCCCTCCGAGTTAGCAAACTGTGTTGTAGATTCCTACCTTGTTCTGCTCTGTAGAAAAGCTGTTTTGTTTTAGCATGTCCTTTCCACTGGACTAGCAAGATACTGAAGCTTGGCCCAGTGGGAGACTCCTCCATCCACACAGTTTAGCGTACATAAAGGAATGTGTTGCACTTTTTCCATCTGACCATAGAAAGTCTGCAGACAATCCATAGGTGTATGGCCAGCTTCAGAGTATTGTGAGCCCAGCCTGTGTGATATGTCCCTGGCGGTGTGTCAGCAACAGGCTGGAAAAGGGCAGAATAATGTAACTGTCATTGTACCTGAAGAGGACTGGTGGTGCTGGATGAAGGTGGAGGCTGTGGATCACTCTGGAGCCGGTAGGCAAATCTGACCATTAAATCTTTAATTTGCAATTAATTTTTGTGCATCTTGTCCATATAGTCTTCCAGACAGAGAGATTTTCAAACATATTCTCCCATGCGTTGTGCACTTGAACTCAATAATTCTGAGGCGTGTCCACATATTTCAGCCATATTGTGTAGGGGAGGTAAAGGGAATCATTTTGCCACCATGAATATCTTTGGGTTCCAATTAATGGCAGCTCTGAGCTATTGCTTCTCCATTTTGAACCCACTTTCTTGGGCGTACAAAACTTTAGGTAACTAAGAACCTGACAACTGGTCTTTGTATCTACTAAAAACTGTAATGTATTATGCCCTAACAAAATTGTGACTTCATGTCTACCACTTCATGGTCTGGCTACAACACATGGGACAACCCTTGTCAATAAACAGCAGGGTGTTATTCTACAGCAGCCATGGAGAAAGACTGTCTACCAGAGGAACAAAGGAGTGTAATTGATGGTAGGAGCTAAGCAGGCACTGGGTGTTATCATGTTCATAGCAATATGATAAATATATTATACATACAGATAGTTCTCAAATAAAAATGTACACTGTGTATGGTGAGCATTGTGCAATGTATCTATTTTATGGTCCCAGAAAAACATTATCGGGGTCTTGTACCGTAAAAGACAAGCGAGCGCCTTACTCTCTTTGTTTACTTTTTATGAAATGTATGGGTGACTTTCAAGTGATCACATGTAATGATTGTGATAGACTCGCATATAGTCGATTAACATTAATTTGTCATTATCCCAACCCACACAAATGCTGAAATAGGCTGGGCGGATGCCTATAAAAAATTTCCCCAATTAAGAATTAAGTTTTATACATTTGTATTTCTGTTAGATGACTTTTCTTAACAGTAAATGAGGTAAGAATACATCAGATTACTACAACTTTCCCCTTGTAACTATTAACCTTAGGTATAAAGCTGGTCATACACTACACGAATTTCAGCCGGTTCATCAGGAACACACATTGATCAGCTGGTTGAAGGAGCCTGTTATAAAATTTTCAAGCAAACAGAACCCGCAGCCAATGAGCTGCCGGCTCTGTTCAGGTATTCTGACAGCGGCTGGTGGTCTGATGTCATAATACGAAGCAAACAGCAGGAGACTCCTCAATCAACGCTTGTAAGTGTTGATGGAGGAATCTGTGATATTTCCTTTGTTCAGCCCGCGGGTTAAAGGAAGAAAATGTTAGGGCATGGCTAGCTTAACACAGAACCTGATAGCCAGGGATGAACTCCCTTCTAGCTTTCCCCAATTGGGTACATTTTCATTAGACAATAAAATGCTTTACATCCATAAAATTAAACACATCACAAATGGTAACTTTTTTCCTACTTTTTAATAATATCACAAAATTAAAAAAAATATTCGTGCTCAGAAAAAAAATTACACCGAAGATGAAGATAATGTATTGCTGTCAAATGTCTTTTTCAGAAACTCAAGGTCTTCATTTTGAAAGTGCAGCCCCTCTAATAGTCTGGAAATAAACTCTGTGTACACTGGATTTTTCTGTGAGTCCTTGTACAGAGGCATTGTGGGAAGTAACCTGAAAGAGAGACCAAAAATACATAAGAAAAGTTCTTTGTTGCTGCAAGTGACAAATCACCTTCATGGCCTTCTGCAAAAAAAAATTTGAGCCCCCTGGATGCATGCCAGTATTTCTATATACTTGTGTAGAGGGGAAAAAAAAAGCTAAAGTATGGTTTGTTTGTCAGTTAGATCACTAAGAACAAACAAATAATTAAAGTGACACTAAACTCAGGAGCTATATCTTAAAAATCCATTCAAGTACCTTACCTATTAAGAAAAATGCATCTTTTTTGTGCATAGTTTAGATGTAGATCCTCAAATATATTTCAGAATTGGTGTTGGCACTGTCCTTCCTTCTGGAGGGTGGCTACTTCTGTTCCCCATGGTTCCAGTGTGTTGTAAAGTAGCCACCATTCCAAGCTCGCTTCTGTGATGGACTACAATATCATGTTTAGTTTAATAATTTGTATTGAGATTGTAGTCCATCACAGGAGTGAGCTTGGAGTGGTCTGACCTGTAAGTGACCAATCCTCTGCATGACATAGCAAAGCAGGATTGAATCTCGTGCTTCATATGTCAGTTACTAGGGTTGATTTACTAAAGAAATACTAGGGCGTTCACCTAGCACTTTGCAAAGTGAAAAGAGAAAAGCTATGTTCACATCCCATTTTTGTTAATTTCCTTTGCACGCATGAACATTCAAGATTTACAGAGCTTCACCTAAAGTAAACATTCACTTTACTGTGTGGACAGCTTCTTCTGTAAAAAACAAACACAACTGACTTCTAGTAATCTGAAAGTGACACTAAACTCAGGAGTTAAATTATAAAAATGCATTAAAGAACCCGAACTATTAACAGAAATGTAGTTTATTTGTGTATCCTCAAATCATCTCTAAGTTCATGTCGACACTGTCCTTCCTTCTGGAGGGTGGCTACTATTGTTCCCCATGGTCCCACACACACATGGTGTGTATTGTAAAGTAGTCACCGCTCCACACTCGCTCCCACGATGGACTACAATCTCAATACAAATTAGTAAACTAAATAAGAGACTATAGTCAATCACGGGAGCGAGCTTGGAGCAGTGACATCTTTACAACATTCAGGTGCACACCTAGGCGACACCCCACCACGCGGCAATCGTGCACAATTCCGTGCGGATTGTCGCGCGGTCAGGAGTCGCCCAGGTGTGCACCGCTCGCGCTGTGGGTGCCATTATTTTTCAGAGGCACTCCAGTCGTGCCGGGCGATCGCGCAGTTTCCCGCCGCGATTCCGCCCGTGCTTCCGAACACGATTGCTGCTAAAACAGGTACTTGTACCTTTTTTTCCTGCGATACAGGACGCATGCCTGTTTTAGCTGCCATCATGTTTGGAAGCAGGGGCAGAATCGCTCCAGTTGGCTGTTGTGAGCAACTGTGTATATACTGTATCTAAAATGTTTCTTTTTGAGAGAAAGTCCACAACGCTGTGTGACCTCTGACTGGAGCAACTCATAGCTTACTGGGGGAGGACAGGGCGTTTAATCAAGTCTGCTGCTTTGTCCTGCATGGCCAGGAAAAAACAAGCTTCAGGCATAAACCTCAACAAAGGCCAGACTATGGACATTCAAATATTGACATATTCTTAGAAGTAAATGACCTGTAAACAAGATCTCACCAACCTCTGTAGCTGCAGGCACAGCTAAGAAGTTCATCCTGTATAACCACAGCAGAAGCACAGCTCATCACCATTTGTTTACTCTGGGAGCAGGAATTCAGCAGCAAACCATCTTTCTAATATAAATACATGGCAGGTGCTGTTCACCAATACACTACAATCCTGTAACCAAGCTTCAGAGTCTCTGTTGTCAGCTTTGTGAATGAATTACTCCACAGTGCCAGCAACTACATATGTGTGTGATGGCTTATTTTAAAGCTCATTTACTGCTTATTAAAAATATGCATGCACCCTAATGTCCTGAACCTGGCCACAGTTAAGTAATCCTGTAAAAACAAAATTCTGATTAAACAGTGCATTGCTGAGGCTTTGCAGTAAGCAGTCCAAGGTGCCTGCACCATTGCCTCCTCTGAGAGTCACTTATTCAGTAGTTTGTTACAAGATTAGTTAAGATAAAAAAACATAAAACAATGTAAAATCTCATCAGTGGCACAGCAAATCTGACCTCACTCTGTTTCTAGACAAGGATTTAACTTCTATGAATCTCCCAGCAAGAGCTACAATGATTATTTCATCAACTTCACCTGCAGCCGCTGGGCACATGAAATATGGATAGGAAGAACTCAAGGGATACAGCCAATCAATAACCACAGAGAAGAATCACAATCCTGCACTTATTCCAGAGCAAGGTTACTTTAATGGTCTCTTAGACAAAATCACCACAATGAGAAGGATGTCTTAATTTATCTTCATTTTATAAATAAAACTTGCATGTAAAATTATAGATAGCTTTTAGTCATGCTCAGCCTTTTGTTAAATGTAATCCAAAGCAACCGAAGTTAAAGAGAAGCGGTTATTTTACCCGTTTTTATAAAGATGCATTCATGATATTAATCACTTGAGTACTAATCTGTATATACCCCTAAAAAAATTATATAAAATTCATGTATTTATTTATTACAGGTATTTATATAGCGCCGACAATTTACGCAGCAATTTACATAGTTGCACATTCCCATCAGTCCCTACCCTCAAGGAGCTTACAATCTAAAGTCCCTATCTCACATGCATACATAGAGGGCCAACTTAGAGACGAGCCAATTAACCTACCAGCATGTCTTTGGAGTGTGGGAGGAACCGAAGGAAACACACGCAAGCACAGGGAGAACATGCAAACTCCTTGCAGATAGTGACCTGGCTGGGATTCAAACCGGGGACCCCCCATTTGAATTCATTTGGGTAGAGTATTGCATGCTCGAGTAATAGTCTGTCAAACTATCGCAGCACTGAAAAAGGCCTAGTTAAGGTGCCCATACACCTTACAATTATCTGCCAATTTTCGGCTGCGATGCCAGTTGATGGGAAGTCCACAACCGCAATTACTGTCTTTCAAGCAGGCTAGAAATTTTTTGTCTAGTTGGACGAAAATTGACGGATTAGTGACGTTGTTGTACAACAGAAATCTCAAGATGAAAACTGCACATGCTCAAACAGAAATGTGGTTGTTCAATCGACGAAAAACGGCCAGTTAGTGGTGCTGATGGACGATAATTGCGAACTACATTGGTCTGTGCATGATGGGCTGATGGAACGAAAAAATTGAACGAGGGTGCGATGTCGAGACAAAAAAAGTTATACAATGGTTGCAAGGTGTATTTTTCAGTTTTCAGTGCTGTGATAGTTTGACGGACTATTATTTGCTTATGCAATACTGTACCCAAATGATTTTTATATAATTTTTTTAGTCAGATGGAGGTTTCTTTTGTGCTTTTCAATAACCAATGTTTTTTTTTTTTAATTTTTACTATATAAAAGGAAAAATAGACCAAAGATTTTGAAACAAAACCTAAAGTTCTGAAGCCTATAATATTACTGGAAGCACACAGAGCCCAGTGTGTCTTCTTCTTTGGAAGATGGCTTGAGGTAAAATAAAACAACCTTTCCAAAGAGCTCCGAAAAGGTATATTAACAAACATTCAATTTTCTTCAATATATTTAGGAGGAGCTAATATTGCTTAAAAGTGCCTTTTTTTCCTTTAAAGTTCTTTTAGTTCTTTGAAATATAAAAGCTTCCTATGGGTATAAGATGTAGACATCTAAAGGTGCACTTAGGTAAATTTCAAATGTCTTTAACCCCTTCGTGACTGACGACGTACAGTGTACGTCGCCAGCATCGGGGCTGTTTAAACAGACTCCCGGCGACTTTTGCCGCCGGGACTCTGTTTAAACTTGTAGAGCCGACTGTCGGCTTTACAACAGAAGCGATCCTGGCGACTTACCTGTCGCCAGATCGCTTCTGCGAAAATTTTCAACTACCACCATTTTATTCTATAGGGTCTTGGCATTCAGAAAATATATAATGTTGGGGGGTTTTACGTCATTTTCAGGCCTAAAATGTGGAATATAACATGGGTGCAAAAATTGAAAAAAGGGCCTCAGTCATGAAGGGGTTAAAAGCACTAGAAGAGCCCCGAAACTCAAGGCATTCTAATATACAAATGCTACCATTTGCTGAATATGTCTAGAGCTGGCCTGCCTCCTTACTATTAAGCCCATTACTGTGATGGGTGGTCTCACTGGCTATTAGAGAGGTGGGGGTGAGGGAAGGCTAGACTAGAGTTTAGTATCTCTAAGAAATAATGTAATTTACATATTACAGTGCCCTGGGTTTCAGGAAGACATTTGAAGTTATGTGCAGCTTCCATTAGATACACGTATTCTGATAGCAACTTTTGAACATTTAAGAACAGACAGATACATTCTAAATAATAATCTCAAATGGTTCAGGAGATTCATCATTCTAAAAGGAGAGTGATAGTTGTGAGTTCTTGCTTAAAACTCTGCAATTAAATTAGTTGAAGAAGATGCTAAGCACTATTTGCCTACAACAGGGGTGCCCACAATTTTTGTGTTAAAATCTACTTTTCAAATGACGAGCTACATAAGATCTACCAATGAAAAAAAATACCTCCCTCGCTCTCTCTCTCTCCTGGCTGTCTCTCTCTCCCATGGCTGTCTTTCCCCGTTCTCTCTCCTGGCTCACCTTGCTGTATTTTGCAATAGGCTGTGTAAACTAATATTCTTTGATGTAATACATAGCACTTCAACCACCAGAAAGGTGTCAGGGAGCTTGGCTCAGCAGACTCAGGCTAATAGGTAAATCATGTGTGCACAGCAAAATAAATATACCAAAATGGAATAAAGGGGCCGCCATTCACACCCTTTGAGATCTACCAGCATCAGCTTTGAGAGCTACTGGTAGATCACGATCTACATAATGGGCACCCCTGGCCTACAACATATAACAGAAGAATTGTAGAACATGATTTAAGGGGTCCCCCATAATTCCAACTGTCA